GTGAGTGGCTGAATGGGAAACCAAACTGCTTTGTAAACTTTCACTCGACTCACTATACAAATAAACCCCAAGGTTCTCCATTTGAGAGGTACCCTCTGCTGACAGCGTGCAGCTGTGACTGCCCACGCCTCCAGGGCTTCTGCTTATGCCTTAGGAGCCTCTGCAGTACAAGGGCTTGATGCCCCGGGCTGCTAACTCGAGGGTTGAGGGTTTGAGCCCACCCTCAGAAGGTGACTAGGAAGAAAGGCCTGGCCATCGACTTCCAAACAACCAGAGAACTCTGTGGGGCAAAGCTCTGGTCTGGCACAGATGCGTCACAGCCCACAACAGTCACAAGTTCTGTGACCACGGCTGCCCACACTCCGGCTGGCCTCGGACAGCAGACTTCTGTAACGGTTGTGAAGAGTGGTCCTGGGGGTCTGTTTTTCCAGCCCCTTTCCTCTACATCGTCCTGCTTCTCGCAGACCCGAGGGTACCCACAAGCAGTGGTCATCATGTCCTGGGTGATTGTACTTGATTGTCCCCCGGGGCTGTGTGACATCACCCCGGGAGCACAGAGGAGCCCTTGTGTGGAAGTCTTAAGCTCATTGTGTCTGTACTGTGCTCAGCGAGCTGACCACACAAACCCTGCCAAACGATTAGTCACCCCAACACCGGGTGAGGGGGCACGTCCACCCCACGTGCCAGGCACAGGTGAGGTGACGTGGCCACCCACGTACCAGACACAGCCTGGAGATGGCCACTGGCCACTGAGGCATCCTTAGAGCCCATCCCAGACAGGGGCTGAGAAGTGGCCAGCCCAGGCTGGGTGTCCACTTCAGGGTACCGGGATCACAGCCTTTGCCCCTTTCCCATCACCCAATTGCCAGGCTCCCTTGGACTCTGTCATCCTTCCTTTTTGCTCACAGAACACTCTTCATCTAAGTGTGTTTAAGAAGCCTTGATTGTGCATCTGCTGTTAACTGGAAGGTTAGCACCCCAAGCCACCAGGTGCTCTGAGGGAGACAGAGGGGCAATCTCTTCCTGTGGTAGCAGTCGGGGGATGGCTGCGGGAGCACAAAAGGACTCAGTGCAGAGGGCTGGGGGTTTTGGTTTAAGTACGCGTTTTCTTTTTTCCATTTAATTTTATATTAATTTGCATACAAAATTCTGATACCCGTCCATCATTCATATACATTGCCTTTCACACATTGCTACATTCACATTGTATATGTTTTTTACTGACTTCCTGTGGAGAGGGGGGGGAATTCCTTTTCCTTTTTTTTTTTTTTTAACTTTTACTATGGTTTATGAGAAGGTTTGCAGAACAAGTTAGCCTCCTGTCAACAATTTGTGCATACTTTGTTTCATGACATGGGCTACCATGTCCTCACTGTAATAGAAGCTGCATGGAGTTACTATGTAACTATACTACCCATACCTCCCTGGCTCTGCCTTCCTTCTCTCTCCCATTTTTTCTTGTTTTGTGAGTTTTGCTTTGGGCAAACGCTGCCCTCCTGGTTGCATGTGGTTAACTGAATGAGAAGCATGTCTGCTTGTGGGTAATGTTTCAGTTCTCAGCGTTTGTTTGATGAAAGTTGATCCCACGGTGAGCTGAGCTCGCTCCAGGCTTGATGGGTGTCTAACCGTCACAGTCTGTATCAGACCAGTAAGTATGGGTTTGGTTTTTTTTAATCTGAGTTTTACTCCACATTTTTCTCCCGTTCTGTCCAGGACTGGAGCAGAGTGAGGAAGAGGGAGCTGGAATACGGCCGCCACATTTTAGTCAGTCTGCTCACTCCTGGTCCCCAGTCTCTGCCACACTCCAGTCCACTGTTACAGTCACCGCGCTAGTCCAGCTTGTTGGGCTCTTTCTCTGACCACCACCTTTCCCAACATAATACCTTTCTCCCAGGGCTGACCCCACCTGACAACCTGCCCAAAGTATGAGACAGTCTCACCGCCCTTGCCTCTAAGAAGCACCCTGTCTGCACCCCGTCCTCAGGGTGGGACAGGAGAGGGCAAAGTTCTGACCTGCTGCCCACCGGGTTGCCTATGAGCTGTAGTCGACACAACTGGTGGCTAACAACACGGTACCATGTGGTATGTGGGAGACCCAACCTGACCTGCTTTCTGCAATGTCTGTAACCTAACTCCCACTCTGATGGCTCTAGTCCCTACACAACTACAGACAAGTGCTGTCACGTGATTCTGGGGACGGCGAGGAGCAGGCAGATGGAGAGGTGCTCCTTTGTCCACAAGGGCACATGGCCAGGGGCACTGTTAACACACTTCACTACTAACTCAAAGGTCAGAGGTTCAAATCCACCCAGCAGCCCCTGGGAAGACAGGCTCTGTGATCTGCTTCCAAAACATCTGCGTTGGGAAGCTCTGTGGGCAGCTCTGCATTGAGAACCAGGAGGGGCTCCCGTCGGCGGGACGTGGTGTTGAGGGGTTGGGGGGACTTGGGAGTATCGGCGTCTTTATTTAAGGAACTGCAGGTAAAGTCCTTTCCTCTACCCTGGTCAGTGTCAGATGACCCAGCAGACTGTCCGGGTCTCCATAGGAGGGTGTCACAGTAACGGCCAGGACACTGGGCATCTTGACCACAGGCTGCACAGAACAGGCCGCCAGGAGGGACATGTAAGGGCTGTAGCCAATCGGCTCGTCATGACATCTCCACCTGGAGCTTACAGTTCCCTGTCCTTGACCGTCCCACCTCCAGGCCTCCTCCACCAGATGAAGTCATGGGCTTCATTTCCATGGGCAGAGGGGACAGGCACCTCCAGATGGTTCACATCCACCAGCTAGCTGCCCGGTGGGAGAAAGAAGAGCAATCGCCCAGTGTGTTACAATCTGAAAAGCTGCTGGAGGGGCGGCCATGGTGGGTTCGGAGTTAACAACAAGGAGCTTGAGGGAGGGTTCCTTCCTTCCCTCCTTCCGTCCTCCCTCCCTCCCTTCTTTCTCTCTCTCTCTCTCCCTTCCTCTCCTCTTCTCCCTTCCCCTCTCCCCTTTTCTTTCTCCTCCCCCCCCCCCAGTACTGATATAAGGAGCTCTGGTGGCCTAGTGGCAAGAAGCTGTGTTGCAATACAAAAGGCACATGGTTCAAAATCACCAGCTGCTTCTCTTCCCGTGTGATTAACTGCCTCTGAAAACCTGCGGGGGTGGTGGTGAGGGGTGTCAGCTATGGGTCGGCTCCACTCGAGGTACACAACAACAATAACAAGGAGCTCAGGTGGCACAGCTCACCTCACACGGGGCTGCTCACCAGAACCTCAGGGGTTCAGGTCCTCCAGCTGGTGTCACCCAGCAAGATCTCCAGCCCCCGACCTGGCGCCAGGGCGTCGTGGTTTGCTTTTGGTGTTTCATGCTCACCTGGCTGTTGCTATTGTTGGCGCTGCCTCACAGCTGGGCCTCCAGTGGGTTTTCGGAGGAGACTGCCCATCCTCCCCCTCCCCCCGAGAAGCAGCTGCTGGATTTCAGCCAGGAGACTCTGGTGGGCAGCACAGCTCCTTACCCTCGAGCCAGAGTTCCGGAACCTCAAATGATGCAAACCTGTAAACACACCAGGTCCAACAGCAGGAAGCTCTGCCTGACCTGTGGCAGCCTCACAACGTGCTACTCAGAGTCAAGAAAAATGACGAGTCTGTTCCTCCATATTCACGAGGGGGCAGATTTGTTTCTGCAGCTGGGGCTGCTTACCAGCCGTTCTGAAAGAAACACTTGCCTTCTGACTGAATTTGAACCCAGCATTTAGAAGAGAAAGAACTTATAACCAAGATGGTCACAAGAAAAAAAAAGCTGTTTTTCCTATTGTTTTTTAATGTAAGTTCAGTTTGAAAGATACTTAAGACTTGACATATTAATATCTAACAAGAGACACATGAAAGTCACAGTGGGATTTACATGTAACTCAGGTGAGGAAGCCCGGCTGTGAGGAAGCCTTAACTGACCACGAAGTTTTGGTTTTAATCAACTCCAAAGTTCAGCGAGTTCAGATGGTGGCACAATTTTTTGAAGCCTGTCTGGGGAGGGGAGGGGGGCTCCTAAATGCAGGGGACCTTTAGCATGTCCGCAAACAATAGAAACGGCCTTTTAAAATTACTTCATGGAATTTCACAAAGCGGCCATTTGTGGATTTGCACCGATTAAAAACACTGACAGCAAACATCCTGCCCCCATTCTACACAGACGACCCTCCTTCTCTCTCAACTCAAAAGTACTTCTCGGATTCCCATCTCCAGGGGTACTAACCCCTATGCTTTCTGGCTGTGACACAAAAGACTTCTTGTGAGCACTTCTAATAACGACAGGATCTGAACAAAAACCGGCCTTTGCTCGTACTCGCGCCTTAGCCCAGCAACTGGGAACAGCTCTGCCTCTGTACACGCGTGTGCATGAGTGCGCACACGTGAGCGGCCTGTGTCATGTGTACACACGTGTGTGGATGTGAGCGCCCTGTGTGCGTGTGTGCACACGTGAGTGTACCTGTGTGGACACGCGTAAGCGTACCTGCGTTCGTGATGCGTGGCCAACAGAGCGGAACGCTGCGCAGAGACGACTCGGAGGGCCAGTCCCGGCAGTGTGTAAACAAGCTGTTTCTAGTCCTTTTCTGTTACCAGGGTGACCGCTCCCTGGATGTGAGCCCAGGCTCTAGCACCCAACACTTCCTGATTCCGGAGAACCACCACGCTGCCGCAGCCCCAGGCCCAGCCCCGCCCCCACCACGCCCCCCTACACCGGGAGGGTGTCCAGCGAGGGGCTCGTAGCTTGCCCAGGTTCTGCCGGTCCTCCCTCAGCAGGGCTCACAGCGTACTCAGGTCCTACAGCCCAGCCTGTGCCCCGTGCACCGAGAAGGGAGGCCAGTCCTCGGTTCTCTGTAAACCCCGTGCCCGGGTCCTGCGCCCCAAGGACCCGTGCATGGGGAGGGGTGCTCAGCGGGGACTCACAGCACGCCCAGGTCCTGCAGCCCAACCTGTGCCCCGTGAGCCCCTGACCCCCCGAGGGGTGCCCGGCGGGGCTCACAGCGTGCCCATGTGCGGCAGGGAGCCCACCCGGGCGGCGCGGTCCCGCGTGGTCGCCGTCTCCACGCCGCGCAGCCACTCGGTGCACTTGCGCACCAGGCGCTCGTGGGCCGCCGGGGCCCCGTCCTCGTCCTCCACGTCCTCGTACTTGTGCTGTTCGTTAAGGAGCGAGACGCGGGGCGGGGAGCTCGGGTTCCCCGGTGACAAGGGCGGCGGCCGGCGAGCGGCGCGGGCACTGGCGGGGGACGCGGAGCGGGGAGCGCGCGCCAGCTGTCGCTCCAGGTGTCGCCGCTGGACAAGCAACGCGGAGTCGGGGGGCAGCCGCAGGGCGAAGCGCGTCCCCCCAGGCCCCGGCCCCGCGCGAGCGGCCCCGGGCGGGAGGCTGTCGTAGGAACGCGCGCGGCTTGGCGGGGCGCACCGGACGGGGGGCGGGAGGGCAGCCCGGGCCGGGGGACGCGGAGAGGCCGGAGCCGGGGATCTTCTGCTGGTGGCCGCGGGCCAGGAGCCGGAGAGCAGCGCCTGGGTCGACTTCTCCGGGGGCCTCTGAGTCTTGGCGCGCGCCGCTGGGGCGCGGGGGGCTGGGGGCGGGAGCGGCATGTGCCGGTGGTCAGGTCACCGACAGAGAGGCCGGGCTCAGTTACAGGACGCGTGTCCGGGATCCCCCGAAGGTCCAGTCTTCACAACCCCTCCAGGCATCGCAGAGCAGGCGCCCTCCCCAAGGGCCTGGGCGCGCTAGTGAACTGGGCCGAGCGCAGGCGTCCCAGGCCGGGCGCGGGGCAGGAGTCAGCTGCAAGGCGGGGACCTAGAGTGGGGCGCGCTGGGAGCGGGAGGGGATGGGCGGGAGTCTGGGCGCGTGTCCAATGCGCGCCCTCCCCAGAGGGCAGTGTCTTCCATGAGGAGGGCGAGGGGAGCTGTCAGCGCGCCCTGTCCCGCAACTTCCAGGGCCTCTGCGGGCAGGATGCTGACTCGGGTAACCTAACGGGACAACCGCTCTTCCTGGTGCTCCCGGACTCTGGGCCACATTTAGAGGGGTAAACCAGTGGGGTCTTTGCTCTTTTATCATATGAATGCACCGGGCTCGGCCAGGTGTTTATAAATCAAAGCCTATTTGTTATCTATAAACCCGAACTCTCTTCAGTTTCAGCAAAGCAGTGTCGATACATAATCATTGTTAGAAAGAGAGCTGCGGGTGAGAGACAGAAGCTTGTGGAAGTGAACAGGCCTTTATTGTGTGGCCTGAGAGGGAGGCTGAGTGACCACCACACGCGGAGGGGGTCAGAATGGCCGTCCTGGGCGTTTTCTTTTTATAGCGGTTTTAGGGGGGACTAGGGAAGTTAGCAATTACCACTTGCTTGGATCCACAATCAGCACTTTTTTAAATTTCTTTTTTATTTTTTTGTGTGTATTGTCAAATCAGATCTGACTGGTACAGGAGGAGTTTGCCCCTCCTTCTCCAGCACAGCAACTGGTGGATCTGAACCATGTACCTCCGGGATTGCAGAACAATCAACACTCTTAAGACCAGCAGTCAGGAAATCAAAAGACAAATTGCATTGGGAAAATCTGCTGTCCTGGACCTCTCCAGAGTGCTGAAAGAGCAACGATGTCAGTCTAAATACAAAGGTATGTCTAATTCAGGCCATGGTCTTCTCAATTACATGTAATTCTTCAGAGTTAGACAGTGACTAAGGATGACAGAAGACTAGATGCCTTCGAGTTGTGGTGTGGAGAAGAGTCTCAAACATACCATGGACCGCCAAGAAAACAAATAGGTCTGTCTTGGAGAGGTTGAAACAAAGTCTTTCCTTGGAGGCTAGGATTTTGAAGCTCTGTCTCACTTACTTGGGGCAGGTGGCCAGGAGAGATCGGTCCTTGGAGGACATCATGCCCAGGAGAGGGAGACTCCGGATGAGATGGATTCATACAGTGCCTGGAGCAATGGGGGCTGGTGTGTCAGAGTTAGTGAGAATGGCTCAGGATAGGGCAGGGTTCAGTGATGCTGTACATAGAGTCACTATACATCGCAAGCGACTCAACCAACAACATTCAACAGGTCTGGAAGCAGGAGTGGCATCCACTTCTTAAATAAAATGCCTCTGAAAATTCTATGAACTTTGATAAATGTCAATAGTTATAGAGGGGCTTCCGGCCTTTTGTTCATAGGGTGCTAGGAGTCGTGTTCGACTCAAAGGCTATCGACAAGGGAAGATGGTGTTTTTCTCAGAATTTGGGGCTGTTAACTGACTTGGGTACGGGTTTTCGTGATCAGGCCCAGAGCCTCATCAGATTTATGTCTGGTCCAGTCCTGGATCTGGCCGCCTTGGATATCAGGTTTCTCAAGGAGTGACCAGTCCTGGGGGCAACTGCGACATCTCGACATCCTCCCTCTAGTCACTGTGGGGTGGATTGTTGGGGAGGCGTGCATGGGGCCCTCCTGTCACGGTTAGGTGCCATCAGGTATACTCCAACCCAGAACTCGTACCAGTGTCACCGACCACCCGACCACGGTCGTGACAAGAAACTCGAGGGGTTTCTTGGTGAAGAGCAGGTGAGGGACGAAGTCGGCGAAAATGAGAGTCTGCACACCAGGATGATGTAGAGAGCTCCAGTTTATTATGCTAAAAGCCTGCTTTTTATACATTTAAACTTGTTAAACTTGACTTATAGCCAACATTTTGTGATTACAAAGCTCACATAAGATTTTAACTAGAAAAAACAAAAAGAAAGTATTTTCTATTAATAAATAATAGCATCAGCTATTAAACATTCTTTGAACAGGAAGCACAGTGACCTTATGTTGGTCATCTGCTAGACAATGGTTAATGGTTTACATTTCACTTCCTTCTCTCTCCTACTTTGCGTCACTGTATCTTAGCCACCTTTGTTTTTGCCTTTGTACTCATGTTTGTACTGTACCTAACGAATCTTAACATCTATTTTCCTACACTCTGGACCATTCCTATGTTTATCAATAGCTTTTGCAACTTGTTTCATAAGGTTTTAATTTGTTTTTATTTGGCAATGTGCACTAAGGCGGGGACGACTTCCTTTAACTTGTTTTTACCAAGTTAATTTGTAATATTCAATTCTTTTTCCTTGGAATACAACCCATCTATTGAGGTCATCATCATAAACTTCCGTTTCTCATTAACTGTGACTTTCTGCTGTTGAAACTAGTCTAAACTTTCTCCTAATATACAATTACATTGCTGAATATGAGTTGCAAGTATCACAAAAGAGGAATTAGATACATACTCAAAGATCATATTCAAAATTATACTTTTAAGAACAATCTCAATTTCTTTTATATTTTCATCTTGTTTGTTATCATTTCCAGGAACATCAAGTGGTTCCTGATTAAGGACTTTAGTTAAATCTTTATCCCAGTTCTGGTGAAGTTCCCCTGATTTTTCCCCAGAAACTCCCATTCTTATCAGAAACAGCACATAGCTTAAAAATAGAAAAGCAATCCCTAGAAGCAACTTAATTTCCAGAGGTTTCCCGGGATTACGAAGACCCATCTGTAACAAATATCCAGGCATCAGCCCACTCACAAGCACAGGGCTTGCAAGATTCCCTCTTATGCTATCCTTGAGGTCAGAGACCCCGTACAGGCACGGACGTCCCATTTTGTCACACAGGCGTCGTGGCCAGAGAGGACAGCGAGGCGGGTGTGGCATACCAGCCCCATGCACAACTGATCAGACCTGGCCAGACCCCATGCCATCCTCACAACGGCTCCCTCTCCTCTGACCCAGGACGATGCCTCTTTCCAAGGATTCGTCCTTCCTGACAGCATGCCCAAAGGACACGAGGCCAAGTGTCACCATCCTTGCCTCTAAGCACCCTGGATTCATTTCTCCTGAGATTGACCTCTTTTTTGGGGGGGAAGGGGCATTACATGGGGTATTCAATACCCTTCACCAACACTACTATTCAGAGGCTTCATTTCTTTGGTCGTCCTTACACACAAGCATAGGAAGCAACTGTAAGTATCAGGTGTTCGGTCAAGCATATCTTCGTTTTTAAACTGTCCTCCATGCTCTTCAGTGCTCTAACGAGGTCCTTGAAGGAAGATTTGCCCAGTGTGATGCGTACTTGAATGACTGAGTGTCCTTCCTTGAGTATCGCTTGTGTCTTCAAGTCAGATGAATGAAATCCCTGACAGCTGCCAACGTCCCCATTGTGATGTTGGCTCTTGGTGCAGAGATAAGGATTCCAGTTGTCTTGATGCAGAGATGTAAGTTATATTGACGTCTACTTGTTTTCATATCATGCTTACAAGAGTGGCACTGTGTGCCACAGCGCTGGAACCAACCCACAGACCCTCCAGCAAGCTTTCCTGAGGCCGTAAATCGCACAGGAATAAAGCACACGTTTTTCTCCTGCAGAGCACCTGGTGAGTCTGAACCGCAAGCCTGCAGGTTGACAGGGCAGCTCCTTACCACCAGGCCACCAGAGCTAGGTCATCACTAAACAAAAGGGGGCCCATGTCAACCAGATGGACAGACACAGTGGCTCCAACAGTGGGCTCAAGCAGCGACTGAGGAGGGTGCAGGGATGGGCGGGCTGTCTGCGGCCTCAGCAGGAGCTGGAGCTGCCGCTATTCGGCTCACCCCCAGCAGCTTCAGGGTGGCCTACGTGGACACTCGGCTCCACAGTGCTCCACGTCCCAGCTGTCCAGGGGCCTCTCACCAGTGGCTCCACAGCCCCAGTCTCAGCTGTCCAGGGGCCTTTTACTAGTGTGATCTGGCACTGGTCCTTGGTCCCCTGCAGCTGATACCACGGGCACCAGTGTTCTCTCCCGGGCACTGAGTCCACCAGAGGCTGTGGAGGCGGTGTTGGAAGGGCAGCCACCGGGGGCTTACAGGAAGAGGAGGGTTTGGTGGGGACAAGCCTAGAGACCCTAGTCAAGGCCCAAGAGTACCCAACTAGGACCCATGGTGGCACCGCTGTGAAGAGCTGACAGGCAAGGTGATGGAATGCACTAGCAGCTACACGAGGGCAAGACCTGGTGACCTGCTCCCATCAGAAGGCCAGCCCAGGGACCCGGCGTGGCAGCTGAGATGTCACATGGGGTGGTGTGCAGACGTGATGAGGCAGGGCGCTCCCACTTCCCTCCCAGCCTGTCCCCTCCTCACTGTTCACAGAGCAGGGAGGGTGTGAGGCTGCCGCTGGTCACCTCCCAGAGACCACACTGACTCAAGTGCCTCAGGCAGACCTCCTCAGGACATGGACTCCCGGAGGCTGGGCACCGGCACCAAGCGGCTCCCACCTGGAGAGAAGGGCTGCTGGGTCCCAGGGCTGCAAAGCCCATGCTCACTAAAGATCGGCATTTTTAAGTCAAGAGAGGAGTTCAGCAGATTTGGAAAAGCCCTCAGTGTCAGAAGCACCAACTCCATGAAGCCCTGAGAAGGCAGACGGGGGGAGGATGGCTGTAGAAGTTCAGCGTTAGTGGCGTTTCAGCTGCAAAACCAGCCTCATGAACATCCCCACAGCAGTCAGCGGTGAGAGCTGCCCAGGTCACTGTGACAGCTGCCGACGTCACCATGACAGCTGCCGACGTCACCATGACAGCTGCTCTCACCTGCCCCACGCTCTGCGCCTGGCGGCCTCTCCCTGGCCAGCCCTTCCTTCTCCACCATGGACCTGCCCAAGTCCCGACCAGCAGTCCCTGTCCCTGTGCCCTGGTACAGGCACTGCGGCCCCCAGGGCCCTGGCCTCTCAGTACTCCCTCCTGCATGGGACCTGCGCTGGGACCACTGACCTCAGGAGACCCCTTCTCCCACTCCTCTGTGACCTCAGCAGGCTCTGTTGGGCTGGGACATGCTGGGGGCACCCGGCACTCACTGCTCTGGACCATCTGAAAGATGTCCTCTAGTGAGGATGAGGGGGCCTCTAGGAGATGGACGACCCAGCACCCCCCAGGACACTGGTGCTGGCGAGATGGACACAGGGCCAGGCAGTGCTGTACCTGAGCCAGTCACCTCCAGGCCTTCACCACAGAAGACAGGGACCGAGTCTCATTCAGTAAGGACAGTGCGCTCAGTGTCTGGGCAGCTGTCAGCCAAGCTTCCAACCCCATCGACTGGACCCAGAAACTGTTCCTTTTCCACGGGCAGCTTTATTCCGAAACTGTAAAGACTTATATATTATTTATTATTATATATAAGCAATTTTTAAAGTACAAATGTTCACAGTTAAGGTAAAAAAAAATGTTTTCAAAACAGCAGACAGTGTAGCAGACAAGCTGAACATAAGTAAGACACAACATTGCTTCAAAGATTAAAAGTCAGAAGAAAGAATTGACAGTTTGCAGTGATTAAACTCTCCTTTGGAAGAGCTTAGGGATAACACGAGTTTGGCGCTACCAGCATCTACGAGTTTAATGGCACCGGCTTCTTTACCACAACACATGGTCCGTGATGCTCCCAGGGGTTCTGGGAGATCACTCCATCAGGAGCACGGTCGGCACCAAAGCCAGGCCATCTGCTTCCAGTGGTCCTTTCCCAAAGGTCTCGAGCTTCAGCTTAGAAGAGAGGAGCAGCACTTAATGACCGCATCCCTGCCGGAGAGAGGAGACGGGACAGGTTCCTTGAGCAGGCTGCAGAAGCTCTCAAGACTGGCACCCCTTCCCCCGCTCCAAGGAGCCTGGGCCTCCTGCCCGGACCACGACCAGAAACCAAGTCATCTGCCTTGGAGACTGAAGTGATCTTATTTCACAATCTCTGAGCAGACATGATCTTGGTGAGGAATCCGGAACAGGCCTGTGAGGTGAATGAGGATGCCAGGGAGGTGTGCTCTTCCTGGGCAGCACACAAGGTCGGGAGCCAGGGAGAGGTGGGACAGGATGATGGGGACAGGTGTCCCAAGGGGGAAATGACAGAGTGCAGCCACAGTGTGTGCACCAGCACCAATTATCGAAAACCACCACTGCACAACGGATGGATGGCTCAGTGCAAAACCAATGTGCTCTATAAACACTCACTGAAATCACACACAAAAAATGAGTGAAGTCTAAATGTAAAAAACCTTCTCTAACAAAAGAGTTTTTAAAAGGAATTAGTGAACTAGATTCTTTAGGTAAACGTTTAACGGCTCCTAAGATGTGCCATGCCATCAACATTATTACCAAGGTCTTCTTCAAAGCCGACCACAGAAACTAGGACGGTCCAGTCTATTGCTCAGAGCTGCCCTGTGTGACTGCAGGGATATGCCCGTGAGCCCTGAGCCGAGCAGCCTCTGGGGCAGTGGCCACATGCTGGTCAAAGCCAGCCCTGCCTCTCGTGGGTGTGTGCAAGGAGCAGGCACCTCCAGAAAGCCACCCTCACCCCCACCCCCGTGTGGGAAGCAGCCTGCAGCTGTAGAGGGCATCTGCTGGCAGCACCCAGTGCGCGTCCCGAGACGCACCCAGGTGCTCAGAGCTCTATGCCCCTCCTGCCACTGCTTTCTATCCGGTGGTGGACCCTGCCTGCCCTGACAGTTTTACATGGAAAAGACTCCTCAGTGGGGACTAAATGACACAGTTCTACGCACTTCCTTCATGTTCACGCTGCGATGTGCCTGGCTGACTCGCGGCCGTCCCAAGTGACACTGTGGAACACTCTGGGGGTTATCCTAGGTTGTCACCCTCACGAGGGCAGACGGCCATGGGGTTTGGACCACTGACCTTTCAGTTAGCAGGGAGCACGTAACCATGGGCTACAGGGGGTGCTGTTTCAACACACAGCAGCATGCATGCCACTTTCAGAGCTGGGCAAAAGCCCGCTTCCCCGAACTCCCAAGCCTGTCAGACTGAATGAAGACTGCAGCCTTGGCTTCATTCACAAGACAGATAGAAATGGAAACGGCAATTCTCTCTCAACATAAGATGAACGTCTCTTGTGAGGAAAAGCCCAGCCTCTGAGCTCAGTTCTCACAAACCTCCCTCTGGAAAGGAGCAGCCTGTCTCTGGCTGGCATCTCCGTGTCTTACTTGTGGAATACGTGCACCATGATGGGCTAGAGGCTGGTCAAAGCACGAGAGCTTCACTCACGTGTAAACAGGGAAGCTGCACCTCACCACCTACGAGAAGCTCGAACCACTACCTCCAGCTACTGTACGTAGCAAATCTCCACTCTGCTCATTTGCAGTAAGTTCCTTAAGAAGTCGAAGGCAACAAGGTACATAAAACACTCCACTGTGAAACTCCTGCCTTTGTGGAAAAGACAGAAACAAAATGAAATTCAGACCTACTCACCTTGCATACGGGATGTACGATAAACTGTACCTGCAAGGAAAAGCCAAAGAGAAGGTTCACCGTGGGACGCGGCAGCTCCCGCCCGACGGTCACACCCTGAGCCCGAATGGTGACACCGGTGTGCTGACCCCAGCAGGGGGACGCTCTACAGAGGTGCTCAAACAGCAAGCGGCCAGCAGGGATGACCTGCCTGATCCCCAGCAGCACCCCTACCCGAGAGCACCTGGACTCCCCCACCCCGACCCCTCCTAAACATCCCTGGGGGCTGCGAGGCAATGCCAAAACGTGATCTTACCACGGAGCGCTCGTTTAAGTGACTGGAAAAACAAACGGAAATTGCTAAGAGGCTGCATTCTAACCCTGAGAGGGAAGGTGCGCCGAGTGCCTCCCTGATCGGTGCGGCCCAGTCACAGTGACTGAACCACAGCCCGCGGAGCCCACGCTCAACTCACCGAGCCCCCTGTGCAAGGGCCCACGGCCATCCAGGACGGGACAGAAGCCAGGAGAGCAGGACGGCCTCCTGACTGCGCAAAGGGACGAGTCAAAGGGGCCCCCACAGCTGCTGGGAACCCCACACCGGAGCCCAGCACCGACGGGCTGTCTCTATTATGTAACGAGGCAGACGGGTGTACTGAGTTCTCTGTTTTACGTTAGGAGAGACAATAAACAAGAAAGTGGAAATGGGAAGAGGTCACCCCAAGAAGATTCTCTAAGGAACAGCCTTCCCGAGCTCAGACCAAGGAGCAAGGTCAGGGAGCAAGGGCCTTTTCGAGCTGACACAGAGTCAACACCTTGAACCTGAACTTCAGAGTCTCCTAAGCTGGAGAACATCAGTTTGTTAAAAGCACTTCCTGTGGTATTTTGGTTACAGGTGCAGTAAAGGGCTATGTGAACACCTCACAGACCAGGATGGACACGTGCAGAGGCCAGTGCTCAAACTGCAGCTGCTCTGGAGAAAACAAGGTTTTGTCCAGGCTGCGCTGGACAGATCCAGACAGAGGGCCTCCCAGGGTGGGAGCAGGGTCAGAGAGAGAGACAGCACAGATAAGAAACAGCCACAGTGGGCCACGTCTCCAGGTGTCACACAGGGCCACCGCCACCACGTCCATCAACCGGTGCTGAAGGGCCGGTGGGGTGGCACCCAGCTCCCTGTCTCTCTCATGGGCGAGGAAGAAGGGGCCACCAAGTCACCCCTAACAGCGCCCAGCTCTCCTTCTCACCCTCAGCGCCACCACTGCCCGTCCCTCTAGCGAGCGCCGTTCTGTTTCCTTCCTCGGCCTGCCTGCACTCCTAACCCGACGTGGCTCACAGCCTCGTTACTCACTGTGGCCACATGAGCATCTGAGAGCAGAGGGGCGCAGGGAAAGGAGCCTGCAAGCTGAGCCTTCACCGCTCTGTCCCCCGTGAGCTGGACTGCAAGGTGGACTTCATAGCTGCTCTCCTAGCACGGCTCTCGAACGGGGCCCGTGTGCGGACCCCACACTCCTGCAATGCCCCCACATGAGGCGTGTGCGGACCCCACACCCCTGCAATGCCCCCACATGAGGCGTGTGGGGACCCCCACACCCTTGCAATGCCCCCACACGAGGCGTGTGCGGACCCCACAGCCTGCAATGCCCCCACACGAGGCGTGTGCAGACCCCCACACCCCTGCAATGCTGCCACACGAGGCGTGTGCAGACCACACCCCTGCAATGCCCCCACACGAGGCGTGTGCGGACCCCCACACCCCTGCAATGCCCCCACACGAGGCGTGTGCGGACCCCACAGCCTGCAATGCCCCCACACGAGGCGTGTGCGGACCCCACAGATTGCAATGCCCCCACACGAGGCGTGTGCGGACCCCACA